AAAACAATTACCAAACCCCGTGATCGATTCGAGACAAAATGCTGCTCCGATACTATCGTATCGGGCAGCTAAATTTGTCTCTCATCGGGGGGTTACAAATAAAAAACCAACGAAGAAAATCAATTATGGGTCTTCGCAGAGAATCGTTGCAAGGGGAAATTGGCTACAAAAGCTCAGATTTCTATCCTTCACTGATCAAAGCCCATTAGTCTCGAAGCTCCCAACTCTGCAGTACCTACTGCCCTCATGTAAAGCTGCACCGCCCCTGACGACCACCCACCGATTGACTGGATTTGTTCCATTGTCAAACCACCTTTCATGGCCGCAGTTGCGCCCCCAATTCTCAAGCTGTGTGCCGTGAACTTCCCACGCAGCCCCGCATTTTCTGCAAAACGCTTAACTATTGCAGAGACCGCTGCTACAGACAATTTCCCTCCTGATCTGGACAGAAACAATGGCTCCTCCAAAGAAGTACCCGGTCTAACCCTCAGATATAAATATAACAACTTTACAGGGCAAAACCTACCCGCTGTTCTCTCAATCGGAACAAACTTGCCCTTGCCCAACTGATCCGTTTTTGATTTTGAAATCCTAATCCACAATTTTCCATCTCTTTCCAAAATATCAGACCTCTTCAAATTACATAATTCACCCGGCCTACGCATTACTCTTAGGCCCAAAGCCACCAAGGCTATATCACGAGCCCAAAATTCAATACTAACTCCCGGCGGTGGACAGTCAAAGTATCGACCAACTGTTGCTACCGGCAAGGGATCCCTTGGCCACTTCACTTCGACTCTTTTTCGTGAAGCCACCCTTTTCATACCTTCAACTAAGAAACGAGTCGAACCTCCCTTCGTCGGGTCATCAAGATCCCTCATTTTATGTTCTCTTGCTACAGCTGCTAGACAAATCGTTAAATCCGATAACCTTTCTGTCGTTTCTAACCAGACAAGAAACGCCGCTAGTAGCTCCCTAGATGCTGGATACGGCCTATAGCCTCCCCATCTCGCAAAGTTTTCAAACATGATACGGGCCTTCATCAATCGTTTCTTGTATGCCTCACTTACGGAACTATCCATCAAAAACTCAGCTCTTCCGAGCAGCATTTCGACCAGTCCAGCAACACTGCCTTTAGACGCCACTGAGCGTTCTTGCATGGCTCCAGGTTCCCCGAAGGTCCTGGTTGAATAATCTGATTTGTTGGAGGCAAATCGACCTCCCTTCTGGGAGAGTTTACTATCAACGGCCACCACGGGGCCGAAACCCAAAAGGGAACTATGATAACTATCCATGCCCGACATTCCCTTGCGTGGCACAACGCTCTGTGGATTTGGCTGAAAGGAGGGCATACATAATTTCTCACCCCGGCCCAATTTTGGGTAAAGCAATCTACCGCCTCCGACCCCGGGCAAAAATATAGACTGTTGAACCTTTTGGTTCTCGCGTTCAAGTGGCTGGCAAATCTGTCCACTTCGAACATCCCCCACATTGACTCCAGGTAGTTTACTACCTCTAAACTTAACAACCAATCTCCCGTATCGGCTACTCTTGTCAGAGGGTCTGCCCAATTTAACTTGCTTGGAACCCACCGCGTATTGTAAATTGCAATGTCGCTTTCCACACAAACTTCCCAAATCTCCCTCGAAATGTCTTTCTGCCAATCCATTGTGCCCCCTTCTATTACTGTTTTCAGAGCTACCCTGTTGTCGATAAACAGGGTAACCCAAGTACCTTTCAGCAGCCTTCTGAATGACTGCAGAGTTCGTAGCACTGCTAAAGCTTCTAACTGGGCTATGACCCGCGACGTATGAGGTTGTGCCCAACTTCCTACCGCTCGGTGTTCTCCTAGAACCCCACACCAGCCCGTTATCGAGGCATCGACATAAACTGGCCTCACTAGAGAAGGCTTCCAGGCTGGACGGCCATTCCATTTCCCAAAGTTCTTTATCAGCCATCGGATATCCTCGAGAGCTTGAGGTGACAAGATTACCTCGTCGTCCCATTCCGAAATATGACGGTTCCTTGCATCTATCAGCTTGTAGAACTCCATACTCTTTACTTGGCCCGGAAGAAAGGCTTTTGACAAGCTTGCAATCTTTCCCGCCACAGAAGCCAAATTTCTTGCTGTTACCACCCGCAAGTCCAAGAGAGCCTCCAACCTCAACGTTGTTGCCGCTATTTTCTCTTCTGGCGCAATTATAATTCCATTCATTGTATCTACGATCATTCCGCAGAACTTTAATGTCTGCGTCGGATTCCAGCTCCCCTTTTCTTTGGCTCGGACCCAACCGCAGCCATCTAGATCCTTCGCTATAATCTCCTCCTTTATCTTTATTAAAACTTCCCTCTGCGGGTGTGCCACCCATATATCGTCCAAATGACTGCCGCAATAAATTCCCTGAGCTCGCCATTTGCCGATTACGGCCCTTATTAGCTTCGAAAAGATCCAAGGTGCCTGGCTTAGGCCAAATGGCAAAACCTTGTACTGGTACCAACACTTTCCTACTACAAAACCCAACAGTCTCTGGGCATCTGTATCCATCAACACATGGTGATATCCTTCCTTCAGATCGAAGGAAATCAACCACCATTTTCGGCCAATTGTTCGAAGTAGGCCTCCCAAACCTTCGAAGCGGAAAGATTTCTGCGGCAGAGTTCGATTTAATCTCCTCAAGTCTATTACAAGCCGAAACCTTTTGGGGCCTTGTTTCGGGACCAAAAAAACTGGACTGACTTCTAGGAGTTCCAAAGGCCGGAAATTCCCTTCGGATACCTTTACTATTGCACCCGCTTTCTCCAACCTTACTAATTCGTTGCTCAACCAAACTTCTTGCTCGCTTGTAAGTTGATACATCTTTGGGTCCGGGCTGTTTACTAGACGAATCAAATTTCTTGGAAACAGGGAGATGCCTTGTCTCAACCACGTCATTACTAACTGGGACGGGCCTATTTCTTTCTCCCAATATTTTACTGCCGCCTGACTGTGGATCTTTCCCGTAACTTGAACTACCGTATCCTCTATTTCTCTTGAAAGCCCCCGAGTGTAGTCAACTTTCTCCTTGCTGGGACCCATCGCCTCGAAAGGGCAACCCAATATGCTTTTTAGAGCTACATTCGTTGGCAAAATGCCCTTTTCCTTCACAAATGTAACAAATGACCTCTTTTCCCTTAAAACTCCTATTTCTATCTGATCTCTTTTGCCATTGAGGCAATGGACGAAAAGACTGCTGTACCTGTGGTGGTAATCCAAACCCCGGCCCAAAATGTTGTGGCTGTTGCCCTCCGTACTGCATATACTGCACACTAGGTTGAAAAGGTAATGGAGGTGCTGTAACAACTCCTCCGAACTGACCCTGCGGTCCCAACTGGCCGAAAGGTTGTTGAAAACCTGAATAATGCATATACGGTTGCATTTGAGGCAACTGTGTCGGTTGAATATTGTTGACTTGAGGAGCTGGGGTCTGATTTTGAGGCTGATCAACCCGAGGAAAATAAGAAGCTCTTGCTTTCTTTGCTTTGGGAAAACGATGTGCCACCATCCTGGCCATTTCCCGTTTATTCCCCAACAATTCAGACATAGGGTCAGAGCCATCAGCCGCAGTCATCTTCGACGCCACTTCCCATCCATCTTCGTCAGCCACCCTTACTACATAGGCTCTTTCTAAAGCCACCTGTCTAGCTAAACGTAGGTAACTCAAGTCTCCTGACGCCAAAGCCTTATCCATCAAAGCCCCTGCTTTGCACCATTCATTATATTCCCACTGGTTACGCTGTTTAGACAACTCCCGTTTTTCCCAAATATTTCTACGTTCCAAGTCGTCTAGGGGAAACAACCCCAGATCTGTGCCCCAACCCAAAGCTCTTGTATCTCGGGCCCCACTATGAACAGAATTGAGACCCATAGGAACTTGCCTACCATAAGGATCATACAAACTTTCCACTCCCATCCTTGCTTGCTGCGGCCTATCACCAGACCACTGGCAAGCATCGGGTTCTTCAGAAAAACTCTCATCTCGAATTTCCGAAAAATGCACATTTTTTGCTTTTCCGGAGGTTTCAGAATCAAAAACCGGCATTTCCGAGCCCATCCGGGCCCTACCATCCTTCACCAACCTAGCTACTATATCCTTCTTTTGACCCAACTCATAAACGCCCAAACTCTTGCAAAGGAACCTCAACGCTTCCATCGACAAACGCTCCAAGCTTGCTTCCAAGCCTGTCTGAGCCGTGTCGAGTTGAGGCACAGTGTCAACCGAAACGGCAGGTTCCGTCTCCTTACTCGCAGTTGTCATGCCGATAAGAATTTGTATCACTGTTTAGCCAATTAGGGCACAAGGTAACCAGTTTTTAATATGCTGCCTGAAAGGGTAAGTAACGTGAAAATACTGTATATATTTTGCACGGAAAATCAAGTATGTATGTTGCACGAAAAACAGTATGTATGAATCTGCACAAGAAAAACGGGTGTGTTTGCACGAAACAAGTATGTATGTGTTTGCACGAAAAACAGGTATGTATTTGCACAAGAAAAGTGTATATGTAAGTATTGCACGAAAAAACCAGACAAAGTCGGGTTAGCAGAAAAAACAGAAATTACCTTTCGTGGGAAAAAAACCCGTTCCCTTAAAACCTACAAATGATTACTAATGACAAACTACGTCATTACGACATCGATCACTTACGAAATCGTACAACAATCAAACAATGCATCAAACGAAAATCACATGAAATACAATGCATCACTAAAACAATTACCAAACCCCGTGATCGATTCGAGACAAAATGCTGCTCCGATACTATCGTATCGGGCAGCTAAAATAAAAATGGGTTTCATGCGACAATCGAATAACTTTAATATTTTAGAATACTTTCGGTCTCATTGTTTTCTCCAACGCAATTCAAGTTTGCATATTGCTTTATTCATTTGTCATAAAATTTTTGGAAGGTTTCATCATAATGTTAATTAACTATATAATTTTTAAATAAGATGTCACATAATCAGAAACAATGACAGAACTTTAAACCTTACCGTATTTGCGTGTAATAGCGTTAATTTGAAATTTGCCTTTTTCAAAAAATTAGTTAAATTACTCAAAATATCGCCCATACGCGTCCCGAAATAACGCGCGCCCACCTTTGTGTCTGTGCAGCATTTTGGCTCAAAGTGCTAAGTGACGTAAATCATTTTCACCAATCAGATAATACTATATATTTAACAATAAGTGATGATATTACCTAATTGTTGAAGTGATTACGTCACTGGCGCTTTGGGAGGGCCACCCTGGCTATTTCAGCATTTGTCTCGAATCGATCACGGGTGTATATTTTGATGCATTATCGTGATTTTATCGTATGAGTTCGTTTCATGATTTATCGTATAGGTCAATAATTACACCCCACAAACCTACACTGAGGCGTTATCGAAGAGGCGTGAAACGATTTGGGCGACTATCAGTTTCTTTGGAATTCCTCATCCGTATTTTATTGTTATTACTTTTATACATTCACAAGTTGCTAACAAATTATGAAGGGCACCTACCAGTTTTACCTCCACCATTTCCCACTATAGGTTGTTCTTAGATTCTACAGGTGAGTTTCTTTCAATTCGTTACTTCATCCCGTCATTCTGAAACCTGGGCTTTTCGATCGTGATATGCGTCGGTCGTTCGATTGCCTGTTGATTATTCAATTTCGGTTCGATCACGATTACATGCATCGATCGGGTACCAGTATACGTGGGTGTCTAAATTATTTTGCTTGCAAAAATTATTTTAGAATGCCGAATTTATTTTGGGACATCAAAAATCCTTTCGCCATACCAAAATACAGTCTACCCTCATAAATAAGCAAATATAATATATATATATAATATATATATATAATATATATATATAATGTCTATATCGTAATAATATATAATGCTAAAGAAAAATTTGTATAAATTTATCTTATGATTGATATTAATGAGGTTGATATTAATGAGGGTAGACTGTACTTTCTTATTCCCTACCATCACATTCAGAGCATTTATTTTCCCGGGGATATAACGGCTACTGTTTAGGTCGCAATTTTTACAGTAATCGTAGTTTTGGTAAGCGTAACAGGTGAAAGGGTCGCAGCAGCCAATACATTTTTTGCGGATTCTCCTTTCATTTACTAATCAGTTATATATGCATCAATAACATCTTCAATAACATAATCAGATTCATCTTATTTTCTTTTATTACTGAATTGTAAATCAGAAAAAATAATCGGCATAAAGCTCTTTAAACATATCATTGTCGAACTCAACCATATTTATATTTGCATCAGGAACTGTTTGATTGATATCTATTTATTATTAAGAACATACTAATAACGAATTAAAAGTGATCGTTTATTTTGGTAACAGGTTTTTATCAAGACTTACAAGAAATGATTAAATACAAGTTTTCGGTAAAATAAGATAATAAAGTAATTATGAATAAATGAAGCAGTATACTTGGCTAAAATTAAAGTTTTTTAAAGATCACGCCATTGAATGCCTCTTTAATAATATCGGCAGTCTATAATATATCGGCAGTTAATAGACATAATAATATAGGCGGTCTATAATAAGGCCGTTTGAAGTTAAAGTTTCGTTTAACGTTACCCCCATCTCTTGAGTTCCCCCCTAAAATTAAACAAATAGAGGTGACGAATTAGTCGGTATAATGGTTGGCACGGTGATCGGAACTTTTCGGTTATATTCGGGATTTTTCGGTATACTATATGTTTATTTTTTTTGTTTGTTTAATTTTCCCCCCTCCCCCCGCGAATACGAAAAAAATAACGTTAAACGAAACTTTAACTGCAAACGGCCTAATATTGCCAATCACATTTTGAAATATCCCGTAACTCAACCATAATTTATTTCGGCTCCGCTGGCAATTTCGTATTAATTCTACTATCCTTATAAGTTATCGTATGGTGGGTAAAAAAATATTGTTATGGTGGTATGGGTGTATATCATTGATCGGATCTTGAAGATATATCTCTGACAGATATTTTAATATATGTCCATACCATCGTGTCAATTTTTTATCCATCCATACGATAAACGGTATTGTCGTCCGGCTGTTATTACGTACTGCCGCACCAAAATTTTGATCATGCTGTATTAGTTGAGTTTTAAAAATTCCTATTGCAGCATTGGACAGAGCAGACTAGACTATATTATCGGCTGTCTAATAAGAATTTTAAAATTCAACCGTACACATTGCCGTACGATAATTATTACTTAATACAGTAAGTATTGTTGTTATACACATCACGTGAATGTGCAGGAATTTGAAAATATATAATAAAAAATTCCTTGCATTTTTAATCAGTGAACCCTTTAAGAAAATATAATCAAATTTTTATGGAGAGCATTTTCCAGTATCAAAGTGAATCGAGTGATACAGAAACATATGAAATAGAAGACGAAAGCGTTCAAAGTGTAACAGCAAAAGTTGAACCAACGTTCACTCAAAAGCCAAAAAGGAAAGCGTCAACTAGCGAAACAGTGTGCCTTGCTTCAGAGTGTTCAACATCCACTCCGTATTTTACGGTTGATAAAAACCGGAGAGCGAAGGATAAAACCTTTAAAGAAATTAAAGGGTATGTTTCTAAACGAGCAAGGTTACAATTAAATAATAAAAATTTAGAAATACAAAATGAAAATGGAAGCACGGCTTCTGAAGGTATGAAAACTTTACCTAGCGATTATTTGACATCTAATGAAGCTTTTCAATAACTATATCAAATGATTTTAAAGTATCCGAATCGCAACTATCTATTACTAAATTACTTAGTCTTCCAAGCCGAATTCGTTCAGCATTGGACAATGAACATGAATCTATTAACATAGTAAGGTCTAATTCCATTCCGAGACGACAAATAGCATCTCTTCCAAAAGAACACACCAAGGGTGTGAATTCTTTATTATGGTGTGGCTCCTTTGGTGAGCAATAGCTTAAAACGTGTTAAACATATTTACCGATGAAGGTATGTTTTATGTTAATAAACTTTAAATAATCAAGGACAGGTATTGGCTTCCGCATCTATGGATTGCACGGTCAGAATTTGGGATATTTTTAGATCAAGGAAGTGTGTTCGAGTTATAAAACATGATGGTAATAGTATTCAACATATGTTTAATTATATAATGCAAACATATAGTATAATTTTATTAATAATAGGTGCTGTGAAGGATATTCGGTGGAATATTAGCTTTAATAATATACTTTCTGGTGGATATGATAAAGTCGCAAAATTATCTGATATTGAAACTGGATCCACTATACAGGTGGGATAATTCATTTCATTTATATGTTTAAATTATGAATATATTATGCTATACTAATCTTAGAATTAAATAATTAGACATTCCCTCATCCACAAATTGTTACTACCCTTCGTTATCACCCTACACAACCGAATATTTTCGTATCAGGAATGATACAAGACGGAATACGATCTTGGGATTTGCGTACAAATAAAGTTATTAAAGAATCTAGAAAATTTATGGGCAGCGTTAATGACATTGAATTTTTCCCCAATGGAAATAATATTCTTACTTGTTCTGACTATGTGGTCAGAAATGCGTCTGATAAAAATATTATGGTTTGGGAAATTGACTCTGTAATTGTCACATATATTATAACTTGAATTTGTGAATTATTAGTATTTCAACTTACGTCTTTTTTAAAAAAACAGATGACAACAATCTCTAATCAAATATATCAAGAAGCATTTTCCTGTACTGCTCTTCGATTTCACCCTTTTCGTAAACATTTTGTTGCTCAATCTAATGGAAATTATATTGCCATTTTTGGCGGTGAAAAACCGTGGAAATTAGATAAGAGAAAGGTAATCTTGACTTAAAAACTTTTTATAAATTAATTTAGTTTTATGAACGAAATTTTATAAATCAATTTTTTCATCAATAACAGCGGTTTGAGGGTCATCTTGTGAACGGTCATCCTATTCGTTGTAACTTTTCACCAGAACCTGACCAAGGTAGATTTTTAGCTTCAGGTGATGCAAATGGTAGTATATTCTTTTATGAATGGCCAACATCAAAAATTGTAAAAACGATAGAAGGCGCACATTTGGGAGCTTGTATTGATGTATGTTGGCATCCTTTGTTGAATGGGGTTGTTGCAAGCTGCGGTTGGGATGGGAAGGTAGCACTATGGGGTGTTAATACATTCTCATTGTAGTTATGTTATCTGAGAGATAAAGTAATATTTAAACTAGATTATTCTGTATATAATATACTATTATTTTTTTAGTCATAAAGTGCATATAACTTAGTTGTGATAAAAGTTAACCAAATTTATTGTAAAATAATATATTCAAACACTATTACATTACAATAGAAGTTGATAAGACTTAAAACCGAATTTATTTTTTTACATTATAGAAATTTTTATAAATCTATATAATGCAATAATTAAATCGGAATGTTTATTTTGATCTATCAATTTTACACCTTTTCTAATCTCAAATTCGTACAGTGACTTTTAAATTCGTAAAAAGTGACTTTCAAATTCGTACAAAAGACCATTTTAATTTAAATTAATTAAATCGCAATATCTCGTGATCTAATAATCCAATTTGGATAATTTTGGTACCATTCAAATCGCCTCATCGAGAGGATTAAAATGATATCAAAATCGTTCAAAACGGATTACTAAAATCACGAGATATTATGATTTAATTAATTTAAATTACAACGTCCTTTTGTACGAACTTGAAAGTCACTTTGTACAAAGTTGGTGTCAAAAGGGATAACAATATTATAAACAAACTTATTTTCTGCAATATGATACATCACACAATATTATAACCCTTTTATTTTCTGTAAACATAACAGGATACTTGGTTTCAGCTATAAAATTAGCCTACTCGTCCTAGTCACCACGCAGAGGTGTATCCTATGACTAGGTTTACAACAGCCCAAAACTGTACCCTATAAAGAACGTATGCATCGAAGTTACTTTTCTTAGAAAACAGTATAGCCATTATAACCACCCCACGAACGGTTCACTCTAAACAATACAAGTGCTTGTTAGAAAGGCAAACATGGCCCACCGGAAGCCCTCCTCGATGAACGGTTTGGGAACAACGTATGGGCGGATTTTTTCGATTTGTGTAGATCGTACCCCAAAAATTGGTTAATTCTGGTCAATTTTGTAGATCATT